GCGAGACACGCGCCCTCTCGAGCAGCGATAGAATGAAAGCCTCGGGCTGCTGCGGGCCTCCCAGAAACGACCGCCTTCACTCGAGCGGCATATTGGCTTGTCAAAATTAATTATCCCAGCAGAGCAACCTAACAGCGATGTGTATAAGCATATCTGGAAGGATCCCCAAGATTCAGGTGAGAATCCAGTTGTAGATTTCTGCTGTTCTCGCAGTCGCAGTCGCACTCGCAATGACAGTCGCAGCGGCAACGGCCTTAGGATCCAATGGATTCCGAAGGATTCCTAAGGATTCCTGAGGATGTTTAACTATGCCTACGGATTCCTGAGGATACCGGCGGATTACTGAGGATTCCTAAGGATTCCTATGGATTCCTACGGATTCCTACGGATGCCTCCGCCTGCCTCAGTTTCAGCTTCAGCCTCAGCCTGCTTCGTCTTGCCTCAGCCTCAGCCTCAGCCTGCCTCGGCCTCAGCCTCAGCCTGCCTCAGCTTCAGCCTCAGCCTGTCTCGGCCTCAGCCTGCGTCAGCCTCAGCCTCAGCCTGCCTCAGCCTCAGCCTCAGCCTCAGCCCCAGCCTCAGCCTCAGCCTCAGCCTCAGCCTGCCTCGGCGCGCCCCCGCCTCAGCCTCAGCCTGCCTCGGCCTCAGCCTGCCTCGGCCTCAGCCTGCCTCAGCCTCCCCCCCCTCCCCTTCCCCCCCCATTCAGCTTCACCTTGTCGCAGCTTCGGCCTGCCTCGGCCTCATCCTCAGCCTCAGCCTCAGTCTCAGCCTCAGCCTGTCTCGGCCCGAACCTGCCTCGGCCTCAGCCTCAGCCTGCCTCAGCCTCAGCCTGCCTCAGCCTCAGCCTCAGCCTCAGCCTGCCTCAGCATCAGCCTCAGCCTCAGCCTCAGCCTGCCTCGGCTTGCCTCGGCATCAGCCTCAGCCTGCCTCGGCCTCAGCCTCGGCCTCAGCCTGCCTCAGCCTCAGCCCCAGCCCGCCTCAGCCTCATCCTGCCTCAGCCTCAGCCTCAGCCTGCTTCGGCCTCAGCTTGTGTCAGCCTCAGTCGCAGCCTGCCTCAGCCTCAGCCTGCCTCAGCCTCAGCCTCAGCCTGCCTCGGCGCGCTTCAGCCTCAGCCTCAGCTTGCCTCGGCCTTAGCCTGCCTCGGCTTCAGATTGCCTCAGCTCCAGGACTGGTGTTCTGGAAACACGAAGATCACGAAGTGGCCCACAGTTGGCTCCGGGCAATCAAAATATGGTGCAGGAGTGGTGTTGCGGGAACACAAAAAAACACGAAGTGGCCTACAGTTGGCTCTGGGCATTCAAAATTAACGTGGGAATGGTGTTCTGGAAGCACGAAGATCACGAAGTGGCCCACAGTTGGCTCCGGGCAATCAAAATATGGTGCAGGAGTGGTGTTCTGGGAAAACGAAGAATACGAAGTGGCCTACAGTTGGCTCTGGGCATTCAAAATTAACGTGGGAATGGTGTTGTGGGAGCACGAAGAACACGAAGTGGCTTACAGTTGGGCCCAGGCATTCAAAATGTGGCCTGGGAGTGGTGTTTTGTTGGCTCCGGGTAGACCAAATGTGGCCCCTGGCAGTGAAAATGGGGAGTCCCCGGATTCCCGCGGCGCCGGTCCGGCATCTGCCCAGACCCCCCTGGGGAGTCATGATATTTTTTTTGAGACCACTAGAAACCTATCAGTCTTCGCGGTTAGGTAATTTCGTAGTTGGGTCAGAGGGGCAGCGCTCGCCTGCCCGCGAGGGGGCCATTGTGGATTCAGTCCCCCTTGAGAAAGCACGCAGGGCCCCTTTCGGCCATGCTCGAGCCGTCGAACGGATGGGGGGCGCATCGGGGGCCACGAGTGCGCGCGGGAGTGCGCGTGGGAGCGTTGGACGCGCGCGTCGCCCAACGACCGCAGGGTGAAGTGTCGCCGCGGCGGAGAGATCCACGGCGGCCACATGGCGTCTTGGATTCGGGCCCGCCTTGGTCGCGCCTTCGCAGCCTGCGCGGCGCGTCTCAGCAGCAGGAGGAGGCGGCGCGCGACAATGCGATAACGCTCGGGCGGCCCACGATGCCATCCCAATGCCAAGCTTCAGGACGTCGACCTGATGAAAAATTCTCAATTTCAAAATCGTTGCGGCTCCTTGGGGGGAGGCGGCCTCGCAAGTAATCGCTCCAGAGTGTTCCGGAATGCTCTCAGAGCGTTCCAGAACGACCAGCCTATTCCCAAACCAATTCAACGTCCGAGACTGGGGAAGGAGGAGGAGGAGGATGAGGAGGATGAGGAGGAGGAGGAGCAGGAGGAGGAGGAGGAGGAGGAGGAGGAGGGAGGAGGAGGAGGAGGAGGAGGAGGAGGAGGAGGAGGAGGAGGGGAGGAGGAGGAGGAGGAGGAGGAGGAGGAGGAGGAGGAGGAGAGGAGGAGGAGGGAGGAGGAGGAGGAGGAGGAGGGAGGTGGGAGGAGGAGGAGGGGAGGAGAGAGGAGGAGGGAGGGGAGGAGGGAGGAGGGAGGAGGAGGGAGAGGAGGAGGAGGAGAGGAGGAGGAGAGGAGGAGGAGGAGGAGGAGGAGGAGGAGGAGGAGGAGGAGGGAGGAGGAGGGAGGAGGAGGAGGAGGAGGAGGAGGAGGAGGAGGAGGAGGAGGAGAGAGGAGGATGGAGGGAGGAGGGGAGGAGGAGGAGGAGGAGGAGGAGGGAGGTGGAGGAGGAGGAGAGGAGGAGGGAGGAGGAGGAGGAGGGAGGAGGAGGAGAGGAGGAGGAGGAGAGGAGGAGGAGGGAGGAGGAGGAGGAGGAGGAGGAGGGGAGGAGGAGGAGGAGGAGGAGGAGGAGGAAGGAGGAGGAGGAGGAGGAGGACTGGAGGAGGAGGAGGCAGGAGGAGGAGGAGGAGGAGGAGGAGGAGGAGGAGGAGGACGAGGATCGAGGAGGAAGGAGGGGAGCCCAGCGTGGGCGCTCACCAGAGCGCTTTCTGTGTCATTCCCGGAGCCGGACCGATTCGTGAGGGCCCGTTGGGGCCCGACGCCGGGCGGCGTCGTGGCAGAGTCGCAGCGCCAGGAGCTCGTAAGGGACACCCACACGTTCTCGCTCTGGCGCGCCGAGCTCGTGCGCCACAGCTGCCCGCTGTGGCAGGTCCGGCGTGGGCGCTCATCAGACCCAGCTCCTCGCGCCTCGGGCCCCGATGCTCGATTCTCGGTCCTCGATCCGCGATCCTCCTCCTCCTCCTTCTCCTCCTCCTCGATCCTCGTCCTCCTCCTCCTCGATCCTCATCGATCCTCCTTCTCCTCCTCCTCCTCCTCCTCCTCCTCCTCCTTGATCCTTCTTGATCCTCTTCCTTGATCCTTCTTGATCCTCCTCCTCCCCCCGATCCTTTTCCTCCTCGATCCTCCTCCTCCTTCTCGATCCTCCTCCTCCACTCCTCCTCCTTCTCCTCCTTCCCCTCCTCCTCCTCCTCCTCCTCCTCCTCCTCCTCCTCCTCCTCTCCTCCTCGATCTGTCTCCTCGTTGATCCCCCTCCTCCTCGATCATCCTCCTCGACACCTAGGCGTTCTGGCGCGCCGAGCTCCTGCGCCACAGCCGCCTGGCCCTCCGTGTGGTGCTCCGTCCGACGCGCCGGGCGGCGCGGCGAAGGCGCCCGGCTGGCGCGCAAGCTTCCCGCGTGTGGTCGCGCGTGAGCGCCCCCGCACGCCGCTGCGCACGTGACGTGCCGTGTGACGGCCCGCGGTGACGGCCCGCGCACGCCGCTGCGCAGGGTCGCCACGCCATCTCGCCTAAGACCCCCCCCGTCCCTTTTCGGCGCCCGCTCGGCGCGATCGCGCGGTCCCGCTGCGCCCGTCTCGGCGCGCCCCGCACCCGTCCCGTTCCCCACGGGGAGCTCCACACGCGGCCTTGGAGGTCAATCGGGCCTGTCCCTCTAGAGGAGGAAGACTCAAAAAGAGTCAAAACATTGTCTGGGACGATTCTTCTATTGTTTTTGGACTATTTGGGAATATTCTTATGATTATCTTTTATTTATCTTCCAAAATCCGCCTGTAGGGGGACATGCCCGACCTAACCCTAGGGACAGGACCCGCATCGCCCATGTCGGCGCCGAGAGGGTGGAGCGAGACGGGATGTGGGGATGTGTGAGTGGAGGTGCTCCTCGGGGGGTGGGGGGGAGAGCTGGGATCGTGGAGTGGCCAGGTCCGCGTCGCTGGGAGAGCACAGCCATCGCCGCATGCTGAAGCCGGGCTCCAGAGTGGCAGCGGTATGGGCCTGGTTGCCCGGTCCGACGCGGCGAGGCCGAGGCTCGCTCCGCGGACCGTCGACGTGTTCGCCGCGCGTTTGGCTCGGGTCTTCGCGGGCACTCCCGCGCGGAGGAGGCTCCCGTGTCCGTGGCACCATCTTCGAGAAGACTTGCACCTTCACGGTCCAGCGACGACTTGCGACCGCGCATCACCACCAGGCGCTCGCTGACGTTTTCTGCGTGCGCCCGGATGGGTATCTGGTCTCGTGTTATTGTGCGTCTCTCGTGTCTGGACTCTTCCAGTTCTTGCATGTCGTATTCGCTGCCGTAGTTGTGGTCCTATTGCATCCAGCTGCCTGCGACAAATCAGGCCACCGTGTCTGCGCAGCAGCGCATGATGCAGGACTTTTAGTTGGATGTCGGGTCCAGATCAGTTCCCAGTCTGATTCACGCGGGGGATGGTGATTAGTCCTCCTCGTCATCAGCCTTGTCGGCGTCGTCCCCCCTCCTCATCTTTTCTTCGGTTATCTTTCTCCTCTTCCATCTCCTCCCTTTGATGCCCTCTTGAGCGCATCTTGGACATCTCTTGGGTCCTTCTGTCTAAGGTTGAGGTTGATTTCAATATCGACTCCAGCGCAGTGTCCTGTCTGAACTCGTTCAGGCTATGAGCGCCCTCTTTTCATCAGCAGGCTCTTGTCCGCAACCTCCCCCTCGTCATCTTCCCTCTTGAACTTCATGTTCTTCTCCCCTTCTTCCCTAGCTCGGCTTCCTCCCGCTCCATACGAAAACGCCCCTCCCCCCCCACCTCCAGGTCATTGAGCGACAGGCCCGCTCTCCTCAGCGAGCTGAAGGTGAGATCTGTATTGAAGCGACCCCGGAGATCCTGGATACCAACCGGCAGTACGAGGCATCGGCCTAGTATTCAGCAGCATCAGCAGCATCGTGGGCACTCACGCGCCCTTGGGATCCACGCGCTGGTATGAGCTCGACGCTGATTCGGTTGAATGAATACAGTGTTCGATGTAGTTGAGTCTAGTTTTCGTACTCGCCATACGTCATGCCACTTGCATGCAGTGTCGTGGCCATGTTGGCTCGGTTCCCTTGTTCGCGCCTGCAGCCGCCAACTGGAGGAAGGCGCCGCCACGTTCCGTCTCGCATGCGCGGATCTCCGGATGCTTCGCGTGTCCCTTCTTTCCCCTCTTTCCTGCGCCTTGGCCAGGGCAGCGTAGGAGCATATAGCGGCACAAAGGGGGAGGACAGCCACCACATCACCTGCATACTCCCTTTGTCACATCGCCGCTTGTAAGCTGGAGAGCCTCCCGTCGGGAAGCCACGAAAGCTCACCTTTTTGACCCGTGCTGTCTCTTTGTCAGTGGATGGAGAGGCGCGGATGAGTCAGGAATCAGCCCTAAAGTAAGGTTATCACATGCATTTGCCCAGGAAGCTGTAAGGAAGCCTTTTTGGATCCCTCTTGGAGATATGTCGGGGCTCTCTCGAGGGTCTTCGTCGCGCCACTTTTGACCCAAGTCGCCAACACGATTAGCGATTTGCTTGACAGCGTCGCCGGGGTCGCCAATGTGCCACGCATGCTACGCGATGTAGAGGAAGGAACGAAGTATCAGAACTAGCAGGAAGAGAGAACGTGCCGGAGGCAGCAGGTAGTTTTGTATCCGCTACGCTGCTCTCTTCATCTCCCAGCATGCCCTCGACGACACGTACTGGGCGAACGATGAACCAAACGAAAGCCACAATCCGTCAGGCAGGCCTCGAGCCAGTCACTTACGACAATGGGGACCACTGTCGATGGCAATCGGCGTTCGGCTCTGGTGTCTTGTGGCGCAAAAGAACGGAGCCCACTGCGCCGACATTGGCGCGCAAGCTGCTCGCGCGTGAGCGCCCTCGTCTTCAGTGTAGCGTGCCGCGCCGGCGGCCCGCGTAAGCCACCGCGGGACGTCGCTGCTTCATCTCGCGCAAGACCCGCTTCCTGCTCGTCGCCCAGAAGGCGGAGCGCCGCTGCTCATGCGAGGACCCGCGTGGCGCCGCCCGAGGGGGCGAGGGCGCCCGCGGCAGCACGTCGGGGGCGGTCTGGCACGCCCCGCGGGGGTCCCGAGGAGTGCTCGTGCGGACCGCGGGGCGCCGAGGACGTTGGAGCTGCACTGTCAATGCCTCGCTCTCCTGGGGCTTTGCTGTGCTCCTGCTCGTCAGCATGTGTCACGTGTGCGGGGCTGCACTGTCAACGCCGCGCTCTCCTGTGGCTCTGCTGCGCTCCTGCGCGCAACGCGCACCGCCAGAGGCGGCGGAGAGCTGGAGAGATTCATCTGCAGAAGGGGCGGCGACTGTGAAGCCCTCCGGCTCCTGCACGCCCAGAGGTCCGACGCTCCGAAAGCATTGGAGCCGCCAGTCTTTGGCAGTTGGCGGCCTCCGGCCTGGCCGGGCCTCGGGACCGTCAACAGAACGAGTCAGGACGGAAAGCTGGCCCTGGGGGAGTGGTCCAGACCCTCCTGGGGGCCCCGCAGTGAAGGCATTGGAGCAGTGTGAGATGTCTGGGCGGGGACGTGCCCGTCGAAAAGTCGTGCCCCCTCGTCCACGAAGTCGGAAGCTCGGGCGATCGCTAACATGGATCACGGGGGCGTGGATTAGCGACTGGTCCCGCTTCCATGGGAAGTCGCAGATTTTCGGCCGCCGAGCGAGGCGGCCCCGGCCGCATTTTGGGGAGGGCACCTCCGGCGGCCGCGCGCCAGATCCATGGATCGCTAATCCGCGTGTGCGCGCCCCTGGGGAACCGGCGGACTCGTCATCGTCCGCGTCCTCGGGGCAGGCGTCCAGCGTTAGGTTGGGCATGTCCTCCTGCAGGTGTATTTTGGACGAGTATCAGACGTATCCAAAAAGTAGGCAAAAGTAGTCAAAAGTAGTCAATCAAAACACGTCCCCGGATTATTGTTTGACTAGTTTTGATGATTTCCTTCTGCAGAGGGACATGCCCGACTGAAGTCCAGCGGCGCCCAGGTAGCAGGGGCGGCGTCCGCGTTCACGCGTATACGGAGAGTCGGGCTCCCTTTCCGCGAGCCTCCTCCAGGAGCGAAGGCGAGGCTTTCCCCACAGAGTCCGAGGAGACGTCGTGCACCAGCCATGGGCCATGGGGGTACCTCTTGCTGGCTTTTTGTGGGGCGCCCTGGGGGTCTGTGCGGTTCGTTGGGGGGGGGCTCCTCGGGCTCTCTTGGGGGCTTGTCGGGCAGCTTGCGGCCATCTTAGAGGCGACCAGTACAAAAAAGAGGGGGGGCGCGTTTCCCGGGGTTTTGCAGCACCTTCAGCGCGCCTGTGGCCGAGCAGACCTCCCAGATCCCAGGCCAGCATGACGGCACCGTGGCCAGGCCCGCGTCGAAGTGGTTCTTGAGCTCCTCCTCGCCGCCGCCCGAGCCGCACCACGACGCCGCGAGGCACGAGCACCTCGGCGTCCGCGGCGACCAGCGCAGCACCAGCGCGTCACGCCGCCGAGCTCCCAGGCGAGGCCCACTCCAGGCACGCCGAGGTGGCGGCAGCGTCCGCTGCCGCCGCCCGGCCAGCCTGAGGCGCGCGCCGTGCGCCGAGAGGGGCGCCCAGGCACGGCGAGCCTTGCGCTCTGCCGCAGCAGGGCGCCCCGCGCGTCGGACGGAGGCTGGGCGCGCATCGCCCTCGCCCTCCCGCGCCATCCTCTCTCATGCACGACAGGAGCGAAGCCCGCAACCGCGAGCAGGAGGGACAGGCCGAGCCAGCTCGAGCAGCGGGGCGATGGCTCGCTGTCGAGCGGCTTGGGCCAAAACGGCTACGGCAAAGGATGCGGCATGGGGAGGGTGACGACATGGAGGGGGAGGTTGAGGCAGAGGAGGAGGAGGAGGCAGAGGAGGAGGAGGAGGAGGAGGAGGAGGAGGAGGAGGAGGAGGAGGAGGAGGGGGAGGAGGAGGAGGAGGCGAGAAGGAGGAATAGTTGGAGTTGTGGAAGGGGGAGGACCGGTGTCAACCCAGGACGCATCAACGATGTTGCAAGGAACCCTTCTTCCAAGTTCATTCTTCACAGGTCCCTGCAGCAATGTATTTTTCTGCGCGGTACGTGCCTCATTGGAAGACAGCCGTCTGAAAATCCTCGATCATGCCTCAACGCAGTTCCAGGGACTTCAGTCATGCCAGAACGCGACTCCTGGGAGTTCGCACCGCGACTCCAAGTGACTGCTGCGTTCTGGCAGTGAGCAGTCGCGCCAGAAGACCATAACCTGGGACTTCCGCCACGCGAGCCCCGGACACGGCTGCAAACCTCCAGGACAGCCTGTGAGCGGCGCGGGGCGGCAGCCGCATCCTTGCAGGCATCCGCCCTCCAGCCTGCAGGCTGCTGCCAACAGTCAAGACACGCACGTGCGCGGCGCTGCATCTCGAGGGCAGAGGGGCCGCCCCTCCTCCTTCGAGCCGGCGCAGGCTTCCGTGGCGAGCGGGCGCGGCGCTGCGGCGAGATCCGCATCTGGAACAGATCCCGCCCTGCCCATCCGTGGAGCTGTTGCAGATCTGGAGCTGCAGGGGGTCATCGATGGCGAGGAAGTCTTGGGCGAAACGCCCGGCCCGCCCCACCGACACGTCTGGGGGTGCGACAGGGAGGATGTCCTTATAAGGAAAACGATGTAGGCGAAGGAGGAGGAAGAGGAGCAGGAGAACGACCAGGAGGAGGAGGACGAGGACGACTAGGAGGAGGATGAGGAGGGAGACGAGGAGGAGGAGGAGGAGGAGGAGGAGGAGGAGGAGGAGAAGGAGGACGAAGAGGCAGAGGAGGAGAAGTAACAGCAGGAGGAGGCGGAGCAAGGAGAGGACGAGGAGAGAAGAGTCTAAGCACCCAGCGGAACTGAGAGGGGATGGGGCAGTAACCCAATATCACCTCAGCGTTCCACTCGCTGGGGACTGGAGGCTGGATGGCCGCCCGCACGGGCGCCGCGAATGCATTTATGGGTTTCGCCGGTGCTCCAATTGCAATATTATTTGAAGCAATTTTGTTTTCGCTTGTGGACTGGGGGGAGGGAGGGAGGGGGCAGTTGTTCGTGACTTCGGAGAGGACGACATACCACCTGTGCAGCTTCTGATGCTGCTGAGTTTCCCGCGGATTGTCCCTGCCAGTCGTCCTGCTCTTCCTCCCAGCT